TAGTAGTAGTAGTAGCAGCAGCAGCAGCAGTAGCAGTAGCAATCAGCAGTAGCAGTAGCCGTAGCCGTAGCCGTAGCAGTAGCAGTAGCAGTAGCAGTAGCAGTAGCAGTAGCGGTAGCGGTAGCGGTAGCAGCAGCAGCAGCAGTAGCAGTAGCAGTAGCAGTAGCAGTAGCAGTAGCAGTAGCAGTAGCAGGAGAAGTAGTAGTAGTAGCAGCAGCAGTAGCGGTGGTGACGAGATGATGATGGTGATGACGACGCTAATGTTGGAGATTTCATGGCGGCTTTTGCTCTGTCTTTGCTTGAGTGCTCTTCTTGATCGTGTTTTGTGCGTATCCTAGCAGTCTGCCAGTTCAATGAACGGCGCAAAGAGACAACATCTTCCACCGAATGCCGTCTAGTGCAAGATTCGAGTGCAGTGTGAAAGCGTCAGTGCTTCAAGCCATTGAAACTCGACGGGACCGGCATGACTTACAAATTTGGGCCGGGCTATCCCAAGAGCATCGGCACCCGCCAGGCACTTAGGCCAATTCCATGCAAACAGCTCCGGCTCAGGTGAGTAGAAAAAGGCGTTGGCGCACGTTCCTTCCTACTCCAAACCATTTCTCCATTTACCCACCGGGCTTGCTGCTGTTTACCCAAAGTATCTCTTCCGACGTTTGAGCTACAGGGACTACTGAGAAGGCCATCATGGTTCTTAGCTTTTGCATCATCGGACATGTGGCTAGTGCCTAACGCGCGATGATGTGACTTTGATTCTGGGAAACGACATTTCGTACTATGCACTCATTTCAAAGGCTTTAAATATGCGGCGCTCTACTCACTCATATTCGATTTGCAGAAACAAGACGGAAACAGGCGGAGCAGTTGGATGTCTTGAACCCTTGCTGCTCGACGCCATTCGGCAAGCCAGCAACAGAGCCGGGTGGAGAACTAGCAAGCGCAAGGCTTGATCATTCCATAACCTATAGCGTGCCAGGAACCAGGAACCACGCCACTAAGCTTTGTTGCAGCAAGGCTGGGGCGGCTGGGGCTAGAAGCTACGCAGTCGAACCAGAACCAAGATGACACCTTGAGCCATCCACCCTGCAAGGCCGCAAGCTGGGAACTTAAGAACGTGTACAGAGCTTGAAAAGACCTTAAAGAAGCCTGACGTCAGATGACATCCAAGGCTTCGTCCAAGTCTGAAAATTCTCTACTATATTGCGGCCCTTGCCCTACTAGCAGCTGGAGAAACAAACGCCTGGGCCGGTTCACAGTAGAGTCAGACTGAAAGTGTCTCGTGCACTTGCAAGGTCTTCCCGGGATCCCCTCGGAAGCTATGTCCAGCTCCGAGGTCCTGAGACAAACGCATGACTGTGTCGCTGTTCTCATGCACTTGCTATGCAAAGCTTCTGGCGCTCTACCTGTTCATCTCGCGTGATCTGTGAGCTGATGCTTCCGATTCTGGGAGAACGAGGCAGCGACTCTCCTACATAGAACCTTGGCACCTCAAAGCCTCTGCAAGCATCTAGTGGGGAACCTTTGCTTCCTTGCCTCTACTGCAGGAGTGCCATCGCCAGCACCGAGACAGCGACTCGGAGCACCAGCCTGGCAGAAAAATGACAAAAAGCATTCAGAGAAGAAGGGAGACATGGGCTCATATCTTCTTCTTGTCTTCTACGAGTCATATAGACTTGCCGGGCTTGCCGGCGTGTTGCTATGATACAAGCTGCAGCTATACCAAGGGTGGGCCACCACTGTTCTACACTGAGTTTTGTGGCTGGCGACATGCACGATGCGATCTGGGTAGCATAGTCACGCAACCCATGAACGGTCTCTGTCTATCAATCCCTGCCTGGTGTTGTACTGCGTTTCGTGCAGCACGGTTCTCTTGACTTGTGGTCATGCTTGCTTGCCTTATGGTCAGTGTATTGCAGGATGTTACCTGTTACCTGGTGGATTCACGCAGGCTCGAATCTCTGAAGGGCCAAGTAGTACTAGCGCGATGCTTCAGGGCAGATAACATCAACTGCACGACCTTTTGAACGTCTTTTCGATGGTCGTCTCGGGCACGACAAGACGAGAGGATCAAAGTTAAACACCGCGAACAACAGCAGCAAGTTGCACAAGCAGCTTCACTCTACTGATACGACAGGCTGCCTGACGAGAACACACGTCTCCTGAACGAGAGTCTGAACGAGCCTACCTCGTCTTGCCTTATACTAACATACACACCTGCTGGTATAACGGACAGGATACGCAGAAAGTTCCTGGAAACAAAACCACGACAGCGCTTGGGACCAAGGAGAGGGCCGAAAACGCAACGGAGCTGGCCGAAATGAACTACTGACTAACCAAGGAGCTGAGACAACAATCCTCGAGCGTCACCCATATATATAAACTCTTAGCAAACTGTTGCCGGTCGAAATACACTTAAATAGAGAGCACGGTGTGAAAATCAACCGGTGTACACCGAACGAGAGGAAACGGAATCCTGTCAAAGTTGGCCCTCGTCCGATGGCCTGTCAGGTGCAAGGCTGGTAATAAGCCCTTCCTCAGCAAAGGCAGTGCAGCAACGGGAGTCTACCACACTCTGCGCTGTATCTTGCCACTGCTCGTCGACCCCATGAACCATGAACGTCTCAGCCAAGCATCTGTGGATCGAGGAACGGTAGTGCTGGTGCTGGTGGGCTCCTGGTTGCGTTAAGCCAACAATCCACTCCCCATGCCTTTGGCCCGAAGCTCGAACAACACCAAGGCAGAGACGCGAATCAGCTTGATCGAGTAAGACATGACATTGCAGGGAAGAGTCTTCCGCTCTGCATTGAAGCTCACGCAGCGAAGTCATGCACTTACTCTAACTCACCATAAGGCCTTGTTATCTGTTCTCTGTTGATAGTACATTTTGCGGGAGTGACCCTGCTTGCCAAGTCTCCGAGGTCGAGTTGGCACCATCACCATCCTGGCTGAGGAGTGGCCCAAAAGATGGAACTACAGAATTGCCACACGGACATGTGGCCAAGGTGAAAGCGATTGCTGATGAGTTGTCAGACCATCTGCAAACGGGTTCCCACCTCGGACGCCGATGTGGTTGAGGTTGTCGTCGTGGTGGACTCCTGAGTAACAGTATGATACCGTGACATATCAGACATGAGATTTGCGAGCCAACGCTCAGGCTCTTCAAACACCGTGCGACCGAGACTCTTGACTCGTGGTGCTGGTGGTCGTGGTGGTCGTGGTCGTCGTGGTGGTCGTGGTGCTCGTAGTGGTCGGGGTCGTGATACCCTTGGCTTGATAAACCTCAAAGCCTCTCCGCATAACTGCTGCAGACCTTCTGCCTGACAAGCTGTACTTCGTGCCAGTATCCTGGTTTACCAACACAACATATTGAATGCCTGTAACCCTAAACCCCCAGGCACTAGCTCACTAGCTTTGCTGTGCAGCACAGTCACGAGAGCCGCCTGGCACGCACTTTCAGCACTATGCGTGCAATCAATCACAGCCTTGTGCATCTTTTTTGCTTACAGTTGCGCAGATGTCTTCTAACAGCAAGTGCGAAGGCTGGCTAGAAATGGTGACTTGGCCCTAACGCTCTCTGCAACCGCTTCAGTTGGCGATGGAGTACGCCAGCATAGACATGAACAAAAGACCACCCAGCAGTCCAAGAGCTGCCCATGAGGGCAGCGGCCTTCGTCTTCTCTTGGACTGCCTCAACCCGCGACTTGACGGTGCGGGTTTTGGAGGTCATGGCCACGCCGGCCTCCATCGCAGGATAAGGCTTGGTGTCACAAAATTCATATGACAAGAACTTGTGTCAGGCATATTCGATCCAGGAGTGGAGTCTCTGCTCAAGGGCCTGAGAGAGGGATTGTCGTCAGATTGGTCCTCTTTATGGTAACAGGGATCGGCAGTACCAGCACCAGTATGACAGTCAGCATGGTCACCAGCAACAACGTCAAATCCAGCCGATTGAGACAGTATGGCGAATATGATGCTACTACTACAACAACGACTACTACACTACGACTGCTACGACTACTACGACTACTACGACTACTACGACTACTACGACTACTACGACTACTACGACTATTTACTGCTACAACAACAACTACTACTACTACTAATACTCCTCCTACTCCTACTAGTACTAGTA